CAGAACGAGTAACGGAAGACAGATGGAGGAGAGGCAGAAGGAAGAAGATGCAGTGAAAAGCCTCATATCTGATTTCGACACCCTGGTCAACAGACTTACCTCCGGGCTACTAAGTTCTCCCTTACTCCTGGTGCTTCCTGGTGTTCCCTGTCTGACCTCCGGGCTACTAAGTTCTCCCTTACTCCTGGTGCTTCCTGGTGTTCCCTGTCTGACCTCCGGGCTACTAAGTTCTCCCTTACTCCTGGTGCTTCCTGGTGTTCCCTGTCTGACCTCCGGGCTACTAAGTTCTCCCTTACTCCTGGTGCTTCCTGGTGTTCCCTGTCTGACCTCCGGGCTACTGGGTTCTCCCTCACTCCTGGTGCTTCCTGGTGTTCCCTGTCTGACCTCCGGGCTACTAAGTTCTCCCTTACTCCTGGTCCTTCCTGGTGTTCCCCTGTCTGACCTCTCCCCGGTACTAAGTTCCTTTTTCCCCTTACTCCTGGTGCTTCCTGGTTTTTTCCCTGTCTGACCTCCGGGCTACTAAGTTTCTCCCTTCCTCCATTGGTGCTTCCTGGTGTTCCCTGTCTGACCTCCGGGCTACTAAGTTCTCCCTTACTCCTGGTCCTTCCTGGTGTTCCCTGTCTGACCTCCGGGCTACTAAGTTCTCCCTTACTCCTGGTCCTTCCTGGTGTTCCCTGTCTGACCTCCGCCGGCAAACTAAGTTCTCCCTTTACTCCTGGGCTTCCTGGGTGTTCCCTGTCTGACCTCCGGGCTACTAAGTTCTTCCCTTCCCTCCTGGTGCTTTCCTGGTTTTTCCCTGTCGACCTCCGGGCTACTAAGTTCTCCCTTACTCCTGGTCCTTCCTGGTGTTCCCTGTCTGACCTCCGGGCTACTAAGTTCTCCCTTACTCCTGGTCCTTCCTGGTGTTCCCTGTCTGACCTCCGGGCTACTAATTTTCCCCCTTCTTCCTTTTTTCCGGGTTTCCCTTTACCTCCGGGCTTTTTGTTTCCCTTCTCCTTTTCTCCGGGTTTCCCGTTCCCCTCTTTTTTTTCCCCTTACTCCCCTTCGGGTGCCTT